AGTATTTAATGATCCTTTCACAACTAAAACTCTATATGTATCGTTGGTTTGTCCTATCTTGGAATACTTTTCGTGCGTTTGGAGACCATAATACTTTGTTCATCAAAAGAGGATTGAATCTGTCCAAAAGCTGTTTCTGTTATTTGCATTAAAAGTTTAACCTGGGATACTTCCACTTGCCTTTTGTCGCATCGTTGCCGGCTAAAACTATTTAACCTACCTCCATTAAAAGAGCGCCGTACTTGTGCTGGGATTATGATACTTTATGTGCTTATTCTTGGACAGGTAGACTCACAAGTACTTCTTGAAAAATTAATGTTTTCTGTGCCTAATAGAGTAACTAGATCATTCCGACCCCTTTGGTTACCAATTTCTAGATCTAATTTTGCGGAACACAATCCATTCCGCGTTATTTGTAAAAATTATAACTCGTTATCCCATTTAATGTCCCCTGAACTATCCCTAGATGTAATTAAATCCAAAATTATGGAATATCTTTTAACTTAATTTATCCTTACTCTTAGTTATAATAATATAGAAATAACAGTTCATTGTTAATAATAATAATAATACTAAATATCAGCCAACTCAAAGAGGCTCTGAGCTAAAAGGTCTATTGTTACATTTTAATAAAATCTTTAAAAATATTGGGCAATAAAATATTAAAATCATTAAGAGTAGCGCTACTCAAGCCAGTGACCCAAATAATAATTACATTACACGAGGATCCAATTTAACACAGGTACAGCTAGAACATAAGCTAAAATAAAATTATCGGTCTACGACCCAATTCTGAACAAGGAAATGAATATGCAGTAACACTAATCTGCGATTTGACCAAATACCTCGTAGCAATACCTGTTAAAAACAAGAAAGGAAAGCTAACTTCGGGCGGAGCCGAAGTTTATATACCCTTGCAGTTAAAACTGGATATATATCGCAAAAATCGGATATAGTTGGTCGATCCTTATGATTACATTATAATAAAACCAATTTACTAAAATACAAAATCTAAAAAAAGTCGCAAACTTCTATCTTCAAAAATACGAAAGTTGATATTTCTACCAAGTACCATTTCCGATCGTTCAGTTATATGGCAGCTATAGGATATAGTCGGCCGATCCTAATTAAATTTGATAGGTCGAATCAACGGGCCAATAATAGAATCTGTATTAAGTTTCAGCTTTCTATCTTCAAAAACACGAAAGTAAGGTCATTTCCGATCGTTCAGTTATATGGCAGCTATAAGATATAGTCGGCCGATCCTTATGAAATTTGGCATGTCGTGATAATTTGCCAAAAATAGCTCTCTTGTCAAATTTGAACTCTCTAACTCTAAAAACACCAAAGTTATACCATTTCCGATCAATCAGTTATATGGCAGCTATAGGATATAGTTGGCCGATCCGGGCCGTTCCGACTTATATACTGCGTGCAAAGGAAAGAAGGGTGTGTGCAAAGCTTCAAAACTGAGAGACTAGTTCGCGTAGAAACGGACAGACAGACGGACAGACGGACATGCTCATATCAACTCAGGAGGTGATCCTGATCAAGAATATATATACTTTATAGGGTCGGAGATGTCTCCTTCACTGCGTTGCACACTTTTGGACAAAATTATAATACCCTCTGCAAGGGTATAACAAGTGTGAAAAAACTGTAGAAAAAGCTACATTTGAAGATTTTATTCTAAAGTACAGTACAATGAAGACATTCATTTCGAACATGGGAACAGAATAAAAAAATTGAAGATTTATAATAAAAAATAAATCTTATTATAGCAATTATAAATAGACCCTATATTTTTTACAACTGCTTATTATTATACTATGTCAATTAATGGCTAACTTCTTAAAAAAAAGTTCTGTAAACAAATACAAGAATGAATTTCTTGCAGTGAAAAGTTTTTAAGCGTCGCTTTTCGAGGACGAGCTGTTCGATTTGTAGATTTGTCGTCTTTTGAATGCATTGTGTGTTTATAGTTTAGGGTGTTGAAACTCGAGCTGCAGATACGAGTACAGACTCCAGTGAATTAACAAAACTTTCTACGTTGGCTTCGTCACTGGGGTGAGGACTTGGCTCAATGTGTGAGCTGATATACTTCCTGTGCTTAACCCAATTAGTTTAATGTGAGGTCAGTTTTGGTGAGTGATCCCATGTTCCTGGGTGTGATCAGTGATCAGTGAGAAAGATTCGAAATGATAAGTGATCAGATGAAAGATCCGAAAGGCATTCGGCGCTTATCAGATTTTTAGGAATGTTTTTGGTAGTCGCAAAGGCTATTAAATCGGGAAGTTTCTTTGGGTCTGCCGGCCAGTATGTTGGTGTGCCAGAAGAAACATAGTCTAGCCTAGAAACATGTTCTTAGCTTTGATAATTGCATTATAGAGCTGCTATCCTTTTGTGGTCACGAGACGAGATACCCAGTGTGTGTGCATGGCATTGTAGTCTCCTGCTGCTATGAAGTGGTCTCCGAGTGAGTTGAAAAACTGCATAAACTCATCTTTGGCTATGGTGAAGCGTGGGTGGCAGTATACGGCGGCTAGAGTCAATTGGTTGCCAGTACTTAGCTGCATATTTATTGATGTGGCCTGTAGGTAGTTTTTAGCAAATTTCGTATGATAATGGTACTGAATACGGGTTCTGATTAAAATTCCAGTCCCGCCGTGTGCTTTACAATCTGGATGTTTTGTTCCATAGAATGAATATCCTCGTAGTTGGTAATTGTATCTGTTTGTAAGATATGTTTCTGAAAGCAGCGTCGATTTGATTGTCTAGTAGGAATTGCGCTAACTCGAATTTATGCTGCGAGAATTTGTATTAGTAGATTTTGGTTTCGCATTATATCTTGCATAGTTGTACGCATAAACGACATGAACTCCGTAAGGCTTTGTTGTAGACTGCATACCATAGCTTCAAAGTTACTTTTTGGCTGCTCCGGCGGTTGATGCTGCTGACCCGTGTTCGGTTCTTGGTGTGCTGGTTGCGGCAGTGAGCTTTTTGAGGCTGGGGTAGCATGTCCTGATTTTAAACGCTTGCGTATGTGACATTTTTGTCAGAGTTTATGGGTCCTAGTGAGGATCTGGCTGAAGTCGAGAAGAAGACTTCAGGGTTTGACCTGGAGGCTATGAACTGATTATTTTGGGTGCGGGCAGTAAATCCCCTCTGGTGGATGCGACTTTTCAGCTCCCTTAAACTGGGCAACCTTTATAGTTAGCAGTATGATTTTCACGCAACCTTTTTGTTTTCTTGTATATATGTTTTTTTTGGTTTTTTTTTTTTTTAACCTTACTTTGTTCCACTATAATAATTCCTTTTATTTATTTTTTATACCCTTGCAGAGGGTATTATAATTTTGGTCAAAAGTGTGCAACGCAGTGAAGGAGACATCTCCGACCCTATAAAGTATATATATTCTTGATCAGGATCACCTCCTGAGTTGATATAAGCATGTCCGTCTGTCCGTCTGTCTGCCCGTCTGTCTGTCCGTCTGTCTGTTTCTACGCGAACTAGTCTCTCAGTTTTAAAGCTATCGTCTTGAAACTTTGCACACACCCTTCTTTCCTTTGCACGCAGTATATAAGTCGGAACGGCCCGGATCGGCCGACTATAGCTATATCCTATAGCTGGCATATAACTGATTGATCGGAAATGGTATAACTTTGGTGTTTTTAGAGTTAGAGAGTTCAAATTTGACATGACACATTAACTGCAAGGGTATATAAACTTCGGCTCCGCCCGAAGTTAGCTTTCCTTTCTTGTTTTTTTTTATTATTATTTTTTTTTTTTATTTAGATTTTGAGTTTTTTTTTTTTTTTTCCGGGTCAGAGGAAGCGCCAACGGTATAAAGGTAACTCCGTAAATTTCGGAAATTTCTCGTTTCCACATTCGCCATTATGGACCATCTTCCGGTTCGTCCTCTCCGCCTTCCCATTTCTCCTGCCACCCTCGCGCATAGTTCCGGAGGCCATAGTTCTCTCCTCGGGGACCTCCGTCGCGCCTCCTTTAGACGCTGACCGCATCAGGATTGGTCTTTCCGGCCGCTTCTCGGGGCATGAGATTTGTCGGCCAAGCGTCGGCCTCTCCGGCGCCGGCCATATCCACGGCCTCTTCGTCCATGGCTCTTCCTTCCGCGCTCCGTCCTTGGTCGTGATTCTTCGGCCGTCGCACCACCTTCTCCTCCGGCTCCGTCAGCGGTACTTTTGGCTATCGACTCGCCCCTCGTACCCTCCTGGAGGCCGCCTTCTCCTTGGCCTTCTTCTCTTCCAGCTTCCTCCTGGAGGCTGCCTCTGCCGCTTTCCGCTTCCTCCTGGTGGCCGCCTCTGCTGCTTCCCGCTTCCTCCTGGTGGCCGTCTTCTCCTTGGCCTTCTTCACCAGACGCCGTGTCCGCCGCTGCCGTGCCCTCCTCTCCTTGGCTATCGTTAGCGCTCGTTCGTGCCCGTCCAGCTTGAGTTGCCGCCACTCCCGGACGTTCCGTTGCCGGACCTGCTCCGCCCGCTCGGCCCTGGCTCGCGCCAGTTCAACGGCTGATTTCATCAGTGCCACCCTCCGGCGGCCCTTCTCCACCCGCTGGTGCATGATCAGCCCGTCACTCCTGCGACGCTCCTCCACCTTGGTACAACTGACGGGTATCCACCTCCGTCCTCCTGTTGCCCGCTTGACTGCCGACGCAGTCATTTCCTGTTTCCCGTGCCATGTCGGGTCGCCGACCACTTCCAAGTCGCTTTCGTCCGACGAGATCACTACTGTTGCGGTTGACATGCTGATGGTTTAATGGACCGTGTTCCTCCCACGGGTCCACTTTTACAGCAAACCCTGCTCCCGTTATTGAAATTGTCCCGTTAGGGCTCAGGGTTTCGCTTGCCTCCACTTTGGTGTTTTCTTTTTTCCATATACATACATGTGTACATATATCCATCTAAATATCGTGATGCACCTGTGCTTTATGGTGTATACGCACTTGGTGCTTTCTTCTAATTTATTTCTCTATATTGTGTCTCTCATGCTTTCGCGTCCTCTACATCTTGGCACTTTAGTTCACTCACGTGTGCCCTCTTCTCTTTGTTCGTTCCTCCGTTTCGTAAAATGGCAATCACCGGCGACACGAAATCCACGACCGTGAAGGGTCCGTCGTACTGTGGCGCTAATTTCGCCGTGAATCCTTCTGCCGCCTTTGACAAATGGTGCTTCTTTGCCCACACTGTCTCCCCGACCTTTGGACTCCACTTCCGCCTCGGGTCCTGGGCCGCTCGCTCCATGTTCCTTAGCACTATCTCAAAGACTTCTTTTAGCCTTGTCGCATTCTCGGTTGGCGTGCCTTGCCCCGCTCCTGTGCCTAAAGCATTTTCGTCGAACAGGGCTTGCGGCATCCTTGGCTCCCTTCCCTGCGTCACAAAACACGGCGAATACCCCGTGGACTCCGACACTGCCGAGTTTACTGCCAGCATTAGCTCTGGCCAGTGCTCGTCCCACGCCCTTTGATCCTTTCCAGCAAACTGGGCGAACATCGTTTTGACCGTCCTATTAGCTCTTTCCGTGGGATTCTGCTGCGGTGTGTAGGGCGCGGTGGCGCACGCCGAGCTCCCCGAGGAACTTTTTAAAGCTTCGGCCTCGGTTGTTGCTTTTCGCAGTGGCACTATCTCCGCCCACTTCGAGAACCGATCAATCATCACTAGGACCATTGTGTTTCCATGCTTCGACCTGGGCAATGGACCCACAAAGTCCGCGCATACAGTGGTTCATGGTTCCTCCGGGACCTGCGACCGCATTTGTCCTGCTGCTTGCATCTGGCATGGTTTGTATTTTATGCAAGTTTCGCATCTCCTGACATATTTCCGGATGTCTCTCTGCATCCCTGGCCAAAAGTATCTGGCGGCCACTCTGGCTATTGTTTTCCTCACGCCTAAGTGTCCTGCTGTTGGTGCGTCATGATTCTCTTTGAGGACCTGCTGCCTCGTCTCCGTCGGCACACACAACTTCCATGACCACTTCCTCCCTTCCTGCTCTATGCGGTACGTGGCGGTAGATTAAACCGCCCCTTTTCAACGTAATCCGAGAACTTCTGCGGACTTGTCTTCATTTTTCTTTTCAACGCGCTTATCCACACGCATTCTTTGATCTCCGCCGCTGTAATACTTCTTAGTTTCTCCAATATTGGCTGGCGGGATAGCGTGTCGGCGACTACGTTGAGTTTCCCCTTCCAGTAGCTGATGACGTAGTCATATTGTTGCAGCTCGAACACCCATCTCGCTATTCTTCCCAGCGGGCTCTCTATGTTGTTGAGCCACTTCAGCGCCATATGGTCCGTGATTACGTCGAACTGATACCGCTCCAGATAGGGTCTCATCTGCCTGATCGCCCATACTATGGCTAGGCACTCTTTCTCCGTTGCCGAGTAATTTTTTTCAGCTCCGATCAGCGTTCAACTGGCGTATGCGATCACTCGTTCGCCCTCCTCGGTGTCTTGGGTCAGGACCGCTCCGACGCCGTAGTCGCTTGCGTCCGTTTGCAGCACGAACCTTTTCTCAAAGTCTAGGCACTCCAGTACTGGATCTTCCGCCAGCCGTGCCTTTAGGGTCTCGAACGCCTCCTGGTGCTTGGGGGTCCATTCCAATTTCGTCTTCTTTCGTAGCAGATCGTTCAAGGGCTTCGCGATTCCTGCGAAATCTGGGACGAACCGCCGATACCATGACGCCATCCCGATGAACTGCCGTACTCCCTTGACGTTTGTCGGGGGTTTTAGCTCTGTAATCGCGGTGACCTTTCCCGGGTCCATGCCGATTCCCTTGCTCGTTATTTTGTGTTCCAAGTATAGTAGCTCTTGCCTGAAGAAATGGCACTTTCCCGCATTTATCCGCAGGTTCGTCGCTTTCAACCTCCTTTAAGTTCTCCATGTTCTCCTCCTTGGTGCGTCCGATCACGATGATATCGTCCTGATACGCAAATGCGTGTGGAGCCATGTCCGGGCCTATGACCTGATCAAGGGCCCTCTGAAACGTTGCCGAGGCTGAGTGCAACCCGAACGGCATCACCTTCCATTGGTACAAGCCCTTTCCTTGAACGGTGAAGGCGGTGTACTTTCTGCTTCCTTTCTCTAGAGGGATCTGCCAATACCCGTCCTTCAAGTCGAGGCTGCTGAAGAATCTGGCTTCCCTCAGTTGTTCTAAAATGAAGTTTATCCGTGGCATTGGGTACGCATCCTTTATTGATTTTGCGTTGATCTGTCGAAAGTCTACGCACATTCTCCATTGACCCGTCTTTTTCTTCACCATCACAATGGGTGAACTGTAGGCGCTATTTGAGGGCTCAATGCATCCTTTTTCCAGCAGCTTCTCCACCTTCGCGTTTATTTTTGGGGTAATATCGCTGTTTTATGGGAATGTCGTCCTTCATCGTGATTCTGTGCTGCGTTATGTTCGAGCAGCCTCTTTGGCCTGCGAACGTCTCCAGCTCTCTCTTGATGAATCTTTTATCGCGTTCGTCTTCCCATTTTTCTGGGCATCCGGCCACTGCTACGGACAGCCTATCTTCCAGACAGCCGCCCAATCTCTCCCTTTTGGGTATCGTAACGCGGTGGCCTGCGCATGTCACGGTTGCGCCAAATTCGCTGAGGAATTCCCATCCTAGCACCAGACTGTACTCCATGCCTGGCATCACCAGCAGGTTCAAGGTCCTTGTCTTGTTGCCGAAGCTAACTCTTGCCTGGAGTGCGGCGCGTGTCTCCGTATGGCTCTCATTGGCCAACTTCACCCGCCTCCTTGTTGCGATGCGTTGCCCGGTGATCCCCCTGCCCTCTGCCAGTTCCTCCGCGATGAAGCTTGCCGTTGCTCCTGTATCCAGCATGGCTTTCACTTCCTTGCCCTCTAACTCGATGGTCGCTGTCAACTGCCGCTCTTCACCAGAAAGTCATCCTATCAGTTTTGAGAGGCAGCACCGTGCGATCCCTGCTCTCCTGCCTGTTGCTGGGACCGCTGGGCATTTTCCGACCTTTGGCAGCATTCTGTGCTCCTTACCCCTATTGCGCCGCACATTTTGCAGAACAATATTCGTGGGTTCCTGCAGCCGCTGGCCAAATGGCCCATGCCACCGCATCTGTTGCATGCTTGTGCTGGGTTTTCAACAGCCTTGGTCCTGCTGTCCATTGCCGATCTGGCCGTTGTTGGGCTGCCCAGTGTTTTGCTGCTCCGGCGGACCTTGGCGCACTTCCTCTCTCTGCCACCTTGGCGTCCATTGAGCGTTTTGGACGGCCGGGTGGTGGAACTCGTTCCGTGGCGTTTTCTGGGTCCATTGACCCCCTGGTACCTTGCTGTCTCGCCATGCTGCGGTTGTTCTCTTGGCCACCTCTCTGACCACCATCGCTGTTCTGTGGCAACTTGCCTGTTAAAGGCCTCTTCTTCTTGCGCCAACTCCTCGAACTCTTCTGCCAGGCCCATCACCTCCTCTAACGATGCGCAGGCGTATGGCCTTATAAACATCTTCATCCTTGGCATGCAATTCTCGACGAGCCTCTCTTTGTGGTTTTTCCTAGTGTCTTCATAAGGGACTGAAGGTCCACCATGTACTCTTAGAATGGCTCTCTACGCCGCTGCTTTCGTTGGCGAACTTGATCCGTTAATTTCTCGAAATATCCTTTCGGCAGGAAAAAGTTTTTAAAGCTCGCCTTGAACCTTGTCCATGTTGGCTATTCTTCATCGTTCATGATGAACCATCTTTGAGCCCTGCCCTGTAGTGGTTCTGGCATAGCCCTCGGGATCGTGTTTATGTCCAAACCATAGGTTTTCGCAGACCACATCACTCGGTTGAGGAACTTTAGCGGGTTTCCTGTTCCGTCGAACCGAAAGGACCAGTCCCGCACCTGTCTGGCCACTTTCGCGTAATCCACTGGGGCCGGGACATACTTTCTGGATTGTGGCTCCATGCTCCTTCCTATTTTTCCTTCCTACTATTTTTCGGCTAGCTTACAGAGTTTGCGGGTCTTGCCCAGAAATACAAAAAGCGTAAACGTTATAAACTCTTTATTTCGTATGCTCTTCTCAATACAAAAGATCTGATTCTTGATCCCGGACACGGGCTCCGCTTCGAATCCTTGCCGCTCCGACGCCGGCGCTTCCTTCTGGCCGTCTCCGTGGCTCCGGCCGCTGTCGCTGCTCCGTCGCTGCTACCGTCGCGGCTACCGATGCTGCTACCGTTGACGAAGGCCCCCTAAACTTCGCCCTTTCGTTGGCCACAAACCGGCCTTCCTACTGGTCAAGGACAACGCTCTTCCGCTCCGCTACTCAGAGAGTGTGAATTGGGAGTAGGCTGCGGACTGTTGCCTTCTCTACGCCGGGACACGCAGTGCGTATGCACCAGCGAGCCGGGTTTGGAAGTCTTCTGGCGACTGCTGCCCCCGCTACGCCAGGACACGCACTGCACTTGCACTAGCGAGCCGGGTTTGGGAGTTGCCTGTGGACGATGCGCCCCCACTACACTTGGACACACCGCGCGCGTGCGCTAATGAGCCAGGGTCAGAAGTTGCCCTACTGACCGTGTGTCGCGACTCCAGTACTCCGGAGACACACCAGTGAGTCCGAATTGGGAGTTGTTTTGCGGGTGACCGGGGTGTTCCTGATCGGTTTCCAAAACTTGGGCGTGTGTTCACGAGTCGGCTTATCCGTGCCTTGCAGGATCACGCCTGTTGGTTGCGATTTCAGGAGTCGGTAAGGCGTTCGATAGACGTATCCTTTCCTCACTTTCTTGCAAGTCTACCTGCCGTGGTTGGGAATGGCCTCACTCGACTCCGATGCCCTGGGCTCTTAGAGGAACCGTCTGACCAATGGGTCCTTTGTTGGCTTGTTCTTCCTGGAACACCGGGTGTGAGTCCCCGAGTAGGCCTATCCTTGTTTCGCAGGATCACTCCTGTTGGTTGCGATTTCAGGAGTCGGTAAGGTGTACGCCAGACGTATCCTTTCCTCACTTCCTTGCAAGGCTACTTGCCGTGTTCGGGAATGAACCACGACCCTGGGTTTTCAGAGGAAAGTCCAGCAATGGATCCTTTCCTTATTGTCTATTCGCTCTCCTTACGCTTGGCTGTCGGACTCTCCAAAGGCGGTCCTCCAACTTAACGCTACAAGCTTCCTAAAAAGACTCGTCCCGATCTGCTCCAATGGGCCTCCTTATATACTGATTGGAGCGCCCGTTAATCCTCGCTGGTTCTGCTCCTGCCGTTAATCCTGCTCCAAAATCACGCCACTCTCCCGTTGGCGAGTCGCCGTCCGTGCCCCCTCGTCCCTCTCGGTCACGGACCTCCGTTGTCGTTAATGCATATCGGAAAAGGGTGGTCGTTTTCTTGTGTCATTTTTGTATTTCATAACGCGTAGCGAGTCGCAATGATCTTCTATTACGTCTGTTCACTTCTGAGGGCTGTTCTTGATAGACTTGCTTCTTCTCTTCCTCCTGTCCATTATTGCGCCACGCTCAGCAGGGCTTTACTCTCCAAAAAGCTTCTCTCTCTTCATTCTCTCTTCATTGGCACTGACCTTTCATTTCCTCTTAGACTATACACTTAACTGATACTTAGTAAACAAATTATTTGAAATTAAATCTAATTTATCTCCGACATATATATATATATAACATTAAACAATTATAACAATTAAACTATATTCTAACACCTTTACCCATTTTTACATGTAATCTATTT